AATTTGGTATACGTTTCTGTAGATGATAATATAAGTGTAAATGTTTGTAGTATAGAACACTATCAAGTTTGATTAAAGGGGATTGGGCAATAGACCTACCTCCCGCCTTGCCAACGTACCTACCTCCACGTGGGGCACCCTGGGCAACGCATGCTCATACGGCAAAAAAAGTCTATTAGCTGGNGTCTGTCTATCTCTTTTACATCCTTGAATCACTTTTCTGTCCCACCTCTCGACTTTTTTCACTTTGATGCTCCTCCTCCACTCTGTGAAGTCCGAAGTCAACTAAAGGGCTAATGACAACTATCACAACGCCTGCCATGTGAAATAAATAAATAATCACGACATGGCTCCATGTAAGTGACCCAAATAAACGTTGCCCAAGCGTTATACGTCTGCTGAGGATGAGTCCGCTACGTGATTAGCCTGTGACCCATAAAACTATTTTACCAAATTACTACATTTCATGGAATTGACCCACCAATTAACACTTATTTATTTATTTCAAACGGCAGGCGTTTTGATAGCTATCATTAGCCATTTAGCTGACTTCGGGCTTCACAGGGGGAAGGTTCATCAAAGTAGAAGAAAGTCGAGGGGTGGGGAACAGAAGAACGATTCACAGATGTAAAGGAGGCAGACAATCACAAAGGTAGAGAAAAAGGTAAGATGAGTAATGTGGAAGGGGTCGAATCTGACATACAGTGGGGTGATGGTAGTTTGAAGACAGAAGTCAAATGCCGGTTTATAGACTTTTTTGCCGTATGAGTATACGTTGCCCAGGGTGCACCACGTGGAGGTAAGTCTATCGCACACCCCCCACCAATTAACATAATGCAAAGTAATTACGTGTTCTTTGAAATATGTGAAAATGCATTCATTGATGAGCGATCAGGGTCCATTTGCATAGAGCCTTTTTTCACCAATTTCAAAGTGATCAACACATGTCTCCCCCAATGGTTGTAACTGTGTTCGAAAGACGGCTTTTATCGGCACAAAAATTAATGTTGCTTTGAATTTCTTACAATTTTGTCGCAATAAAACAAAGCGGCTTTGCATGTTTTTGTGTAGTAAAATGACTAACTTATAATGATCACATAGATAAAGCATTTTTAGCCATCAATATTATTTCCAGTTCCTCGATTCAGACGTCACCAAAAGGGGTGTGCGATAGACTTACCTCCACGTGGTGCACCCTGGGCAACGTATACTCATACGGCAAAAAAGTCTATTAACCGGCAGTTGACTTCTGACTTCAAACTACCACGACCCCCTGGTTGTCATATTCGACCCCTTTCACAGTACTCACCTTACCTTTTTCTCTACCTTTGTGTCTGTCTGCCTNTAGACTTTTTTGCCGTATGAGTATACGTTGCCCATGGTGCACCACGTGGAGGTAAGTCTATCGCATACCCCTTGTGTGGCACTTGTTTATATCATCTTTTTTTGCATCTTTTTCCATTTCTAGACTAAAGCGAGTGGCGAACCCTCCTGTTTTGATTTCTCTTTCACTGCGGCACTTCTCAACTCTGCTTCAGCCAAATCATCCAAGCTTCAGTATCATCAAAAAACGCCTTCCCTGATATCTCCATCTGCGGAAAACACCGTCGCCGCCACTCCAACGACGAAATTTTTCTCCCCCAGAGAGAGTTCTCTTTCTCCCAGGGCCAAGTTACGCGAGGAGATGCAGCAGCAGCATCATGACCTGCTCTCTGCTTCCATCAAACCCCCCGAAACGATGGAGTTGGTGCAGAAGTTGGATGCTCTGCAGAATTCTGCGCCTTCAGCCAACGTTGCTACTCGACAGAAAATTTCGGAATTTCCTGCTGAGGTTTCCAATCCAGAGGAAGCTGCCAAAATGATTGCTCAGAGAATGGGTGAGTTGCTTATGCTCATTTTGTCAATCAGCTGATGTTTTTCAGAATCCCTTCAACTCCAACATGAACAAGCTTTAAAGATGACCGTTTATACTAGTATTGATGCCTAAATTAGAGAGATGGAGTTAAATATAAACACGTTTCCTATATAATTTGCGTTATTTATGAAAATAAAATTTCGTATTTACTTTAAATAAGAAGTTTTTTTAATATTGGAGTCATTTAGTCTTTAAACCTTAAATTTAGATGAGTTGCTGGTATATTAAATATTTAAAAAGGGGGGGGGGTGTGCGATAGACTTACCTCAACGTGGTGCACCCTGGGCAACGTATACTCATACGGCAAAAAAGTCTTTTAACTGGCAAGGGCCTAATGATGAATATCATAAAGCCTGCCATTTGAAATGATAATATTTAAAAACGGTCGCAATGACAATTTTTGCTCGTAATTCTCGAACTATCTGGTCTCGTGTAATAGTTATCGTAGCTTATATCATTGAAGATCCCGTATGTAGCTTTTGAAGGAGGCTAAAGTATTTGGCAAAATTCCCTTTCTGTGTTGTTAACGAATCAATTTCAAGGGGGGACTCTCTTCTACTTATTATTATTTAGTAACATATTGTAAACTGAATGTGGAATCGTGTATTTTATGAGTTACACTTAGGCCAACATAAATCGTTGACAGATTGAGATAAAATAAATAGCAAATAGTAATCTTTAGAGTGAGCGTGACGCGTTTGACCACTGGAAAATAAAGTCTTAAAATTTATGCTGACATGTCATTTTTAATGGTGATATTTTCACTTTCCTCTTTAGTAGATAAAGAAGCTCTAATCCAGCGTATTCGAAGCGCTTTGAGCCAGTTAGAGGTCTATAATGCCAGTCTGGATGAGGAGATGACCCAACGACAAAATCTCTCCTCGAGTCTCCGTGCTTACAAGCAAGCCCTCAGAGAATCTTGTCAAAACGTTCAATCCACCATTCAGGTGAGAGTACACCTCAAGTGCTTAATCTGGTTTGTTGGTCTCCTGTGCCCTCTCAGCCATGGTATTTGTCTGACTCGTTCAAATGATGCCGTGCCTCTAGTCAGTTGACTTAATTAGAGATTATTTACCTCATTAAAAGCTTGATCAGCATCACTCTTAAGGCCAAAATTTGGAATGAATTTCTGTGCTGTATGACGCTTCATCACCACTGCTTCTTGTAGAACTTGGATCATTTGAAAAGTGAAGACATTGGTGTGCTGCATCACTCCTTCATAGGAGTGATCTTTTTCATCTCTCTGCCAGAACGCAGTTTTTGGCACACAAATTCTCTTGGGACGGGTTTTCAAAATTTTTGAAATGCGATTTGCCCGTAAGAGCAAAGACTTTCTGGTCCTTTTGGATTTTGGAGAGCACATCTTACAAATATTCGTTTATTTTATTAGCTATTATTACTTAAATCGCTTCGTCTCAAAGGAAGTTCATCATATTGTTAAACACTGAGCCCCGGATACTTCACTGTGGGGTGTGCGTTATTGTTTTTCTTTGAGGGACATTATGTAGTCTTTGGTGACCTCTGACTAGGTAGACAAGCACGTTAAATGCTGCGTTGTCAACATTTTCACCCCCCTAGTTTGTTTCTGAGGTCCCAATGAAATGGCTTATGATCTTCCTTGTTTTTTTCTCAGAGTTTCCGGGAGAAACGGGCCTTGATAGGCTCCATGCAAAACAGTTTGGACAGTCATATTTGCAATCTTCCAGATGATCAGAAACCTGAAGCTGAATTCCTCGAGCCTCTGCCCTCTGTCGGTGATTTGTTCCGTTGACTGTTTTCTTTTTTTATGAATTTTGTTATTATTGTCGTGTCTGTGTAATTAAATTTGTACAAAGAACTTGTATTTTGCCCTGCCTCCCAGAGGCCACTCAGATGTGTATTGTCATCATCAAGGTAAAATGGAGAAATTCTCTTTTCTTTTATTGGGATCGGGGGGGGGGGGGGGGGGGGGGGAGAAGGATCTGGATAGAAAAAAAACAAGTCGTATAAGACTGCGGAGGGAAACGTTAAAGGTAAGTGGAGTGGGGTTGGAGATCGGGTTCGGGCCAGTGTAGGTGTCTACACCTAGGCATGTATGGATCGAAAACATGCAAAGATAATTTGCATAGTTAAAAGACAGGTAGTTGTAAAGGCGTGTTTCGTCTATTGGGTTGGAAAGGCACGGATACATACGTGGGGGGAAGTGTGCGTGACGATAAGGTCTTATCGATTGATGTTGTTCTGGGAATTGTCAAGCTGTCTTGGGTTTAATTATTCATTCTACAGTCGAGGTGGTAGTTAATTACTCTGTATCGACGATTTCGCAAATCATTTATTTATTTATATCAAATGGCAGGCGTCTTGATGGTTATCATTAGCCCTTTAGTTGACTTCAGGCTTCACAGAGAGGAGAAGAAACGTCAAAGTGAAAAAAGTCGAGAGGGGGGGGGAACAGAAGAGTGTTTCAAAGATGTAAGAGACAAAGGTGAGGTGAGTACTGTGGAATATGACATAGAGTGAGGTGATGGCAGTTTGAAGTGAGAAGTCAACTGCCGGTTAATAGACATTTTTTGCCATATGAGTATACGTTGCTCAAGGTGCACCATGTGGAGGTAAGTCTATCGTACATCCCGTATTATATATAGTTTCATCCCGATAATTGCAGTTAGACCTAGGGCTTAAATTGCCTCAATTTTATTATTGCCCAAGGCCAACTAAGTTGTCCAATCAGATTTGAAATGAGGAAGGAAGTAGGTCACGCGGAAGCAAATAATAAATCTAGAGCTTCAAGAGTCTTCCTTAAGTTGGTCAGTTCGTTGGGAGTTGACTAATATCCCACTTTCTTGGCTTGAAACTCCGAGTGAGTCGAAGTTCACGAGCATTTAGTGCCTTCTGAGTGAGTGTTAATGCCACCGTCTTCATTCAGATGCCTATTCTTGCATTNTTCACAGTGGAGAAGGAGAGGGGGAACAGAAGAGAGTTTCAAAGATGTAGAGCAGGGGGGAACAGAAGAGTGTTTCAAAGATGTAAGAGACAGGGGGGGGAACAGAAGAGTGTTTCAAAGATGTAAAAGAGACAGGTGAGGTGAGTACTGTGGAATATGACATAGAGTGAGGTGATGGCAGTNGGGAGTCCGATGATATATTTTGACTTTTGAGAAGAGTTTCAGATAATTTATATCAAATGGCAGGCGTTGTGAAAGTTATCATCAGCCCTTTAGTTGACTTCAGGCTTCACAGTGGAGAAGGAGAGGGGGAACAGAAGAGAGTTTCAAAGATGTAAAAGAGACAGACACATAAGTAGAAAAAGGTGAGGTGAGTACTGTGGAAGTAGTCGAATATGACATACAATGGGGTGAGGGTAGTTTGAAGTGAGAAGTCAACTGCCAGTTAATAGACTTTTTCCCGTATGAGTATACGTTGCCCAGGCTACACCACATGAAGGTAAGTCTATCGCACACCCCGAGTTTCAGATAATGGTGTTATAAATTTGTTGAACAACGCTTCTTGCTTCGATTTGTGCCATTCCTGTTGAGCCTGTCCTTGTATTTATGAGCTGTTTTTGTCGACGGATGGCATTTATATGGAACATAGAATTCAGGAGTAGTAGTGTTATCAGCATGCAATAAGCGAGTTATTTTTGTGGGCGGAAAGGTGTGAATCTGTCTTGGCTGAGTACCAAAACACCAACTAGAGTTGAATTTGGCGCTGCTCCAGAATTATCAACTTTTTTTGCCCATTTTAAAACTCTCTCTTATTTTGGGTTATATTCAAATAATCATGAGTGGGTGTTGTGCATATATGTGTGTGTGTGCTCAAAGAGCATTAAATGGTTTAGTATCCATCGGTATGGTCAAGATAACATCGCAAATTTATATTCCACCCTCTCTAACACTCAACCCCCCCACCCTCCTCCCCTTCCCCCCCACCCNGCATGTCAGTTGACGCAAGTTATATCTAATTAGCACTCATATATCCCACTTAAGGGTGTTTAAAACTCCCTATTATCATCTTGGTAAATGCTAATTGGCTATTCTTGAGTCGTAGTTATACGAAACTCCTTTTCTACCGCCCCTCTTATTTTCCTCAATCAATCTATTCGGTTGATCGTCCAAATGACTAGATGTGCTCCTTTGAGGGTTGATCTTTCGATTATTATTATTATTATATCAAATGCCAGGCGTCTTGATGGTTATCATTAGCCCTTTAGTTGACTTCGGGCTTCATAGAGAGGAAGGTACATCAAATTGAAAAAAGTCGAGTGGGGAGGGGGAACAGAAGAGTGTTTCAAAGATGTAAAAGAGACAGACAAAAAGGTTGGGAAAAAGGTGAGGTGAGTACTATGGATATAGTCGAATATGGCATAGAGTGAGGTGATGGTAGTTTGAAGTGAGAAGTCAACTGACTGTAAATAGACTTTTTTGCCGTATGTGTATACGTTGCCCAGGGTGTACCACGTGGAGGTAAGTCTATCGCACACCCCATCTCTCGATCATTGAACTGGTGAACGATCAGTATGCAATCGTGGAAAGATTTCCATCACAACGAACACTCATAACTGAATTTAAAAAAAACGTGCCTTAAATACAATGTGCCTCAACTTATTCTTTTTTATCTGTGTTAGTCGTACCCATTGTAGCTATTGCAGACACCTAGTGCGTACCACTTTTTGATTCTTTAATTACTACGCAGCGAAATTAATTTGGTTCTTCTGGTGGCCTTAATCAATTCTTTTCGTGTGTATTCTTCAAAGATTTTATGCTTAATTAGTGGCATTTTTGGCCATCTATCCCATCACCTACCAAGAAAATTTGTCGGGTAGAACATTTTGGATCTGGGGGTGTGCGATAGACTTACCTCCACGTGGTGCACCCTGGGCAACGTATATTCATACGGCAAAAAAGTCTACCAATGGGCAGTTGACTTCTGACTTCAAACTGCCATGATCACACTGTATGCCATATTCGACTACTTTTACAGTACTCACCTCGTCTTTTTTCTACCTTCGTCTTTGAAGCACTCTTCTGTTCCCCCCCCCTCTCAAATTTTTCCCACTTTGATGTTCCTTCCCCTCTGTGAAGTCTGAAGTCAACTAAAGGGCTGATGATGACTATCAGAACGCCTACCATTTAATATAAATAAATACATTTTGGATCTTGATCTTAGTCAATATTCTATATTTTCCCNTGTATCGACGATTTCGCAAATCATTTATTTATTTATATCAAATGGCAGGCGTCTTGATGGTTATCATTAGCCCTTTAGTTGACTTCAGGCTTCACAGAGAGGAGAAGAAACGTCAAAGTGAAAAAAGTCGAGAGGGGGGGGGAACAGAAGAGTGTTTCAAAGATGTAAGAGACAAAGGTGAGGTGAGTACTGTGGAATATGACATAGAGTGAGGTGATGGCAGTTTGAAGTGAGAAGTCAACTGCCGGTTAATAGACATTTTTTGCCATATGAGTATACGTTGCTCAAGGTGCACCATGTGGAGGTAAGTCTATCGTACATCCCGTATTATATATAGTTTCATCCCGATAATTGCAGTTAGACCTAGGGCTTAAATTGCCTCAATTTTATTATTGCCCAAGGCCAACTAAGTTGTCCAATCAGATTTGAAATGAGGAAGGAAGTAGGTCACGCGGAAGCAAATAATAAATCTAGAGCTTCAAGAGTCTTCCTTAAGTTGGTCAGTTCGTTGGGAGTTGACTAATATCCCACTTTCTTGGCTTGAAACTCCGAGTGAGTCGAAGTTCACGAGCATTTAGTGCCTTCTGAGTGAGTGTTAATGCCACCGTCTTCATTCAGATGCCTATTCTTGCATTTTAGAAGGAGTATATCTAACAATGAAAGTTAGAACTACGTTCAATAACATAACAATCGTTGCAGGTTTCGAATGTCTTCACCCAATGCAATCATATGAAGCTAATATGTTGGAGG